ACGGCACATAACAGCAACGACAACAAATACTCCTAGATATTATTCACCAACCTGCTGAAAAGTTCCTTTTTCAGAGACAACATATATAATATATGTGTGTGTGTGTGTGTGTGTGTGTGTGTGTGTGTGTTTAACTGTTGTAGAGTACTGAATCAAAGCAGCTGAATTAGATAGAAGCTCAATGTCATTTCCTTCAAGAATTAACTCATCTTCATTTGAACCCTCTAAATGTACTTTTCACCTAAGAAGTTTCCAGTTTCAACCAGAGACCTGCTTTCTTGAATCTCGACGTTGATGGGGAAATGAGCAGACCTCCTCTTGTAACCCCTTTGATCATGTTCTGTACGTGGCTACAGATGGTGCGAACTGTAGCCAGTTTCCTTCTGCTCCCCCACCATTTGTCAACGCGAAGCCTTTTCTTTTTCTCTCCAAGAAGACCGAACTGTACGTTGACGTGACTGAAGTCCTTCTGCAAGGTTCCCCGCGGGCCTTTCACGATAACTGGGTGGCCCTTCAGCGTAATGTCCACAATCTGGTTGCTAAGAATGGTCTTCATCCTCACAGTAAATGTAGAAAAGAGTGGAACATAGATTTTGATTTCTTGGCGAGGATTTAAGTAACATTAAATCGTTGACATGTCCATCTTTTCTCCATCTATTACGATGACCCAGTGGTGAGGATTTTTGTTTTTTTCAAGTTGGATAGACCCATGTTGAAAGCTGTAGTCTTGGATATTCTTCAGTAAGATCAAAGTAGAAGAAAAAGAAAATGATAGTAAAAAAGAGGAAGAAGCTATGTTCTTCAGAACAGAATGCTCACCCCTGAAGTTCAGAGCCACCTGAGTTGACAACTGGATTATATTGCATTAGAGCACAGAGAAGCCAAAGCAAAGGGAAGAAATCAAGAAATTAAGGGGCGGAGCAGAAGATTTCAAAGGGCAGATGGTGAAAACAAATCGAAGTACTATAATGAAATATACAAAGAAGGAGAGTCAGATAATCAAATGGGACAAACTTGATCAGCATTTCTTAAGCTAAAGGAACTGAGTTGCAATATTTAAAGATGCAGTGGGCACCATTAGAGATGGAGAAGAGATTGAGGTTTTTAACAATTACAGCTTGCTCAGCTCCACAATCAACATTCTTGGCACCAGCAGTCAGGAAATGAAAAAGTGATTGCACTGGGAAAATCTGCTGTCAGGGACCTCTCCAGACAGGATGTCAGTCTAGAGATTAAGGTGCATCAAATCCAAGCCATGGTCTTTGCAATTAATTGCTAAGTATCAGAGACTTGGACAAAGACAAAGGATGACAGAAGAATCGATGCCTTCGAATTGTACTGCTGGTGAAGAGCCTTGAATATAGCATGGACTGCCAAGAAAACAAATAGGTCTGTCGTGGAGAGGGTGAAACCAAGCTTCTCTGAAGGAATTGGCAAAAAACAAGGCCCCAGGAACTGATGGAATACCAATTGACATATTGACATATTTCAGCAAACAGATGCTACACTGAATGTGCGAGCCAGGTTGTTTCAAGAAATCTGGAGGACAACCACCTGGCCAACTCAACCTTTATTTGGGACAGGAAGCAGGAAAACATAGCATGGTTCAAAATCAGGAGAGGAGTGTGTCAGGGATGTGTCCTGTGTCCATATTGTTTCACTCTATATATCAGAGAGTTGGACAGTGAATAAGGATGACAGAAAGAAAATTGATGCCTTTGAGCTGTGGTGCTGGAGAAGAGTGTTGAATATACCATGGACTGCTAGAAGAACAAACAGGTTTGTCCTGGAGAAGGTGAAGCCAGAATGCTCCTTGGAGTCAAGGATTCTGAAGCTTCATCTGACATACTTTGGGCATGTTGCAAGGAAGGACTGGTCCTTGGAGAGGGACATCATGTTTGGCAGAGTGGACGGGTGGCTCAGGGGAGGAAGACCCTTGATGAGATGGATCAATTCTGTGACTGAAGCGGTGGGAATAAGTGTGTTTGAGATTGCTAGGTTGGCACAGAATAGAACAGAGTTTAGAGCTTTTGTACATAGAATTGCTATGAGTCGCAAGCAACTCGATGGCACATAACAACAACAGCAACAACAACTATATGCAGAACAGATCATTCGGGAGGCTGGGCTTTATGAGGAAGAACGTGGCATCAGGATTGGAGGAAGACTCATCAACGGTCTGGGTTATGCAAATGATCCAATCTTTCTTGCCCAAACTGAGAAGGACTTGAAACAATTGCTGCAGAAGGTCAAGGACTATAAGCTTCAATATGGACTGAAGTTCAACATAAAGAAAACAAAGATTCTCACCACTGGGCCAATTGGCAGCACCATGATAGATGGAGGAGAGATTGAGATTGTTAACAATTTCCATTTGTTTGGGCCCACAATCAGTCTTGGAACAACATCCAGCAATCAAAAGATGATTATATTAGAAAAGTCTCCTGTCGTGGACTTTTCTGGAGTGCAAAAAATCAAAGATAACAGTCTTGAGACTAAGGTGTCACTGATCTAGGCCATGGTTTTCGCAAGTATTTGCTATACATCAGAGAGCTGGACAATGAAGAAGGATGGTAAAAGAATTGATGCCTTTGAGTTGTGGTTCTGGAGAAGAGTACTGAACATACCATGGACCAAGAGAATAAACAGGTCTGTCCTGGAGAGGGGGAAATCAGTTTGCTCTCAAGGCAAGGATTTTGAAGCTCTTCTCACATACTTCGGGCATGTCGCCAGGAGGGACCAGTCTTTAGAAAAGGACATCATGCTTGGAAGGGTGGAAGGACAAGGCTGGAGAGGAAGAGCCTGGATGAGATGGACTAATACTGTGGCTGGGGAAACAGGGGTAGGTGTGCTGGAGACAGTCAGATTGGCTCAGGATAGAGCAGGCTTCAGTGCTATTGTGCATAGGGTCACTATGAGTCTCAGGTGACTCCAAGGCACAGAACAAAATTTTCTTCATATAGTCCAGCTTCTTAGATTTTCTCAGCATATAGATTGGGGGTGGGAAATGTAGTTAAACAATATAATCCTGAGATACCCCTTGACCTCTTTAATCTGTATGCTAGGCACACAATTAATACAAAGCCATTTGAGAAGCAGGACTATGTGAGGAAGAATGGGGCATCAAGATGTGAGGAAGACTCATCAGTAACCTGTTCTATGCAGATGACACACCCTTGCCTGCAGGGAGTGAGGAGGACTTGAGGCAAAGGCTTGGGACGTACCAGAGGCTGCAGGTTGATGCAGGAAAGTTCTTTGTTGATCACATCCAGAGTGACAGTGGATATTGTGGGTCGTTCTATGCTGCAGAGGCAACGGGACCGTGTTAGGGACCAGAGTCACAGGAAAAATGGCTCCCCCTATAGCCCCCCCTTCCCCCTCACTCCTCTCCTTCCCCTTCACTTCACCCCAGACCACTTCCTTGCTTCCCCTCACTTCAAACCCTGTTCACTTCCCCCTCCCCCTCCCCCACTCCCTGCACTCATTCATGTGTTGTTAAATGCCATCAAGCCCCTGCTCACCCCCTCTCACGTCCCCCTCCCCCACTCATTCATGTGTTGTTAAATGCCATCAAGCCCCTGCTCACCCCCTCTCACGTCCCCCTCCCCCACTCATTCATGTGTTGTTAGATGCCATCAAGTCAACCACAACCCACAGTGGTCCCATGAACAGCAAACCTGACCCCTGCCCTGTCCTGTGCCATCCTCATCACCTCTGCCACTTCTGAGCTCGTCCTTACGGCCACTGTGTCAATCCATCTCATTGAGGGACTTCTTCCCCTTCACTAGCCCTTCACCCTCCCAAGCACTGTGTGCTCTTCCAAGGATTGAGTCCTCCTGACCTGCCCAAAGTATGTGAGACAACGCTTCACCCTCCTTCCGTCCAAGGAGCACCCTGGCTGCCCCCTCTCCAAAACACATTTTGTTTGTTCTCTTGGCAGTCCACGAGATATTCTGTACTCCTCTACGGTACCACAACTCAAAGGCATCAGTTCTTCTTCTACATCTTCTCTATTTAATGTCCAACTCTCAGATACATAGCAAGTAACCGAAAAGACTTGAAATGGCTTAGATCTGGCACACCAGAGGGTTATTTCGTTCCTTAGTCTTTAAACTGATATCCTTGCTTTTCAGCACTTTAGAGAGGACCCTGACTGCAGACCTTCCTGATGTAATATATCTTCCGATTTCTTGACCATTGATATCAAGGCTGTTGACTGAGCATCCAAGTAAGATGAAATCACTGACGATTTCTATCTTTTCTCCATCCATCGTAATGTCGCCTATTGGCCCAGTGGTGAGGATCTTTGTTTTCTTGATGTTGAGATGCAATCCTTAATGGAGGCTGTAGTCTTTGATGGTCTGCAGCAAATAGTTCAAGTGCTCACTTTGAGCAAGCAAGACCGTGTCATCTGCATAACGCAGGTTGTCACTGAGCCTTCCTCTGGGCCTGAAGCCACATTCCTCCTCACTCCCCAGCTTGCTCATTTCAAACTCTTGTTGGGACCACAGAACTGCCAACGAGGGCAGATGGGTATGCTGATCTGTCCTCTTCTGACTTCTTCTTACGTCAGTTTTGTCCATTTGTATGGTGTTCATCTCAAAGAAAAGCTGCCATCTCAATTATTATTGCTGCGCTTTATATTCTGCATGATTCTTTTAACAGTTTCATATTATTATTATTATTATTATTATTATTATTATTATTATTATTATTATTATTTGTGTGTGTGTGTACCATCAATTCAGATCTGACTGTACAGGAAGAGATTGTCCCTCCTTCTCCAGCAGAGTATCTCATGGATTCAAACCGTGTATCCCTGGGATTGCACTACAACTTCTTGCCACTAGGCCACCAGAGTTTGTTTAACAGTTTCTATAGTGATACTTTTATACTAATTTTCCACTTTGAAATTCAGTTCCATTTTCTCTCCTTTACCCTTAATGAGAAAATTAGACAGAGTGTCGGTGTTGCACACTAATCCACACTGATAATGTGAGGGACATCTCCCTGTCCACACAGCTGGAAGAGACAACTTGCAATGTGTCCCTTCCAAGAAAGGGGACACAAGAGAATGAAGATAGATCTTTATTATTCAGGCTTCACCTCTGCATATGAGGAAATGGAAAACACCATGGCATGAGTCAGGTGCTCCTCAGTCTTCAAAGTGACACCATTGCTCCTTTATCATGTTAGTGATGTCCTTTATAGTAGATATGCACAATGCAACACATCAGTTTAATCCTTGACTCTTATGACCATGGGTATAACAAGATATTGTAAAACCGTATCTTTAATATCACATGCAATGAAAATCTCCTGGAAGAAAATGCAAAGCTGGCTACCTCAGGACATCAACAGGAAACTTCCAGAAATTCCAGCCAGATTCAGAAGAGTCTGTGGAATGAGGAACATGAGGGCTACTGTCAGAGATCTTGGCTGGAAGCAGAGGCTACCAGGCAGATGTTGGCCTGTCTTTTGCTGACTGCGCTGAGGCATTTGACTGTGTGCAACTACGAAAACAAACCCTGGGTACCATTAGGAAGGGTCACGAGTTCAGAACACCTAATTGTGCTCATGTGGACTGGGCACATAGAAGCAGCTGTTTGAACAGAACATGGGAACACTGTGTGGTGGAGGGTATCTTTTTTTTCTGTTTGTTTTTACCATATATCCTCACTCTGCATGCTGAACAAATAATCTGAGAAACCAGACTCTATGAAGAAGAGCGTGGCATCAGGATTGGAGGAAGACTCGTCTACAACGGATGAGAAGGAGATGGCATAACCTTGCTTGCAGAAAGTGAAGAAGACTTGAAGCACTTACTGGTAAATATCAAAGACTAACCTTCAGTGTAGATTACACGTCAACATTTAGAAAACAAAAATCTTCACAAGTAGGCGAAACAGCATTATACTGAGGGAAAGACCAAAGTGGTCAAAGATTTCATTTTACTTAGATCTGCAATCAACACTCGTGGTTAACAGGAGTCAAGGGTTAAGTTGATGTGTTGCATCGGGCAAATCTACTACAAAGGACATCTTTAAAATGATCAAGAGCAATGATGTAACTTTGAGGACTGAGGAGCGCCTGGTTCAAGCCATGGTGTTTTCAATCTTCTCAGTGAAGACTGAACAATGAATAAGGAAGACTGAAAAAGAATTGATGCTTTTGCATTGGGGTGTTGGCAAAGAGTATTGCATATATCATGGATTGTCAAGAGAACAAACACATCTGTGTTGGAATAAGGGTAGTGAGAATTGTGGAGGCAAGGATGGAGAGACTTCATCAGGAGGGACCAGTCCCTGTCGAAGGACATTATCAGCATAAGAGGAGGACCCTCTAGAAGGACTGACACAGTGACTGCGCCCATGGGCTCAAGCCCCCAGAGACATGAGGCTGGTGCAGGCTCAGTAACATTTCATTCTGTTACTCTCAGGGTCAGGCTGCCATACTACGAGGTAGAGTTCACCAGGCAGTACTAACGGCTAATGTAAAGCTTGGAGAGTTCTGGTGGCCTAGAGCATCTAAGGAGTTGCTCTGCCAACCCATAGGCACGTGGTTCGAATCCACCAGCTGCTCTGAGGGAGAAAAATGGGGAGTTTCTTTCCATGTGATTTACAGCCTCTGAAAAGTCAGGGAGGGTCAGCTAGGAGTCAGTTCCAACTCCACAGCAATGACAGGAAGACAGAACAGAAAGGTGGGCTTGTATGAACCTCTGCCAGTGGCATCTGGAAGAAAGACCTAGATAACTGCTCCCATAAAAGGTACAGATAACAAAACAACTATGAGATATCATCTCACCCCAGTCAGAATATTTTCTGCTGTGGTCCCTTTTAGAGTGGGACTGACATCAGGGTTGAGGGAAGGCAAAGAAGGAGGGGAGGAATGATGTATACTGCATTGAAATAGACGAGGGAGAGAACTGTTTAAAAGGGATATGTGATTGGGTATTATCATGACAGGATTCTAGAATGAAGGCTGAACAGTGAAGTGGACTTGGGGGGAGGGACTGCATAACAACGAAAGAGTTTTTCTTTCACTTTTCAAGGAGAAGAGTGAATTGGGGGATAGGGGTGGGCAGGGAGAAAAGTGGAACAATGAATGATTGGAAACTCTAAGTTTCTGTAAACGTTCATTAAAATTAATAAAATTTAAAAAGAAAATAAAAAAATCATTATGACCAAATAGATAAGAATCAATGGAGAAAAAAAAAGGTGGGGGGAGACAGATAAGAGGGCTCCGGGAGCAGCTGCACGCTGTGACACACAAGGTTGTCATGAAGAGGACAGAAGGGGCTCTGGGAATGGGTTGGATTTGGAGGAGGGGATGGCTTGTATGCAGCATAACGTCCACCCGTGAGCCCCCACACCAAGGCCACACACCACACCTGGAGGTGAAGCTGGGGTCTGCCTTGCCGGAATGCTGCTGCTGCTTCAGGTGGATGTCCTGTGGGGGGAGAAGGGGCAGGTGGGCAGGTGGGCAGTCACACGGTCAGATGTGGGAAGGGGAGAGCAAGTGTCCAATGAATGGAGCCTGGGACGTCCAACCACTTCTGCCTCCAAGTCCACCTCCAGGGGGAAGATTCTAGGAGCTTGTGGAAACACCTCCAGCCCAGGCTCCTAGCATCAGGCTGGTTTCCTTTGTTCTCCCTCCAGTCTGGGTGTTGTGGCAGAAGATGGGACAGGGGCTCCCCGTGTCCTATTTTGCCCAGCCCCCTCCCACGTGGCCCACCTGAGCCTCATTTGAGATCAAGCATAAACCCCCTGGTGTGACCTTGAGAGCTGCACAGGGACTTGGACCCACAAGACCCACAGGCCCCTTTCTGGACCTTCTCACATCTCCACAAACTCCCCTTCTTGGCCCGCCTCTGTTCTTTCTGCTGCCTCAGTTTACCCAGCAAGCTCAGGTCCCACACTATTCCTGGGCTGGTTTCTTAGTGACATGGTTCCCCTTGTTTGTCCTGCTCAAGCCCAACTTCCTATTGAAACCCCCATTGGCGCAATGCTTAAGCACTGGGCTACTAGCCAAACACCCCAGTCGCTCCACGGGAGAAAGACCTGACCCTCTGTCCCTGTGGAGGTGGGGTTGCTAGGAGTTACCGCCCTCAACACCACCTTCGCTTGTAGAGGACTACAACAGGATGGGATTCCCTCCAGACAGCTTGGCTCTGGGCTGGGTTTGGAGAACTTGGAGGGGGTCAAAGGGGGCTGCAAGGAAGCAACACCCTGTGGAGGGGAGCCAGGAGGGGTGGGTTGGGTGAAGTGGGGCAGAG